TTGCCTGTGTTCTGGTGACTGTGGTTTATACCCAAACTTAAGCGGGAAGAATGATTATATTTTACTTACATTCGGTGTGGATTACATTAATACGTGTATTTTTTAGAGCACCATTAATGTCTACTTAAGTAGATGCTTTGTTATACACGTAATATATTAAAACTTTTAATTATACTTACTATTTTCAAGTGTATGATAAATAAAAATAAATGTAAATTAAAATTAAATTATAAACATAAACAAATAAAAAATTAAAACCTTTAACCCTTGACCGACTTCACGATACATTTTGTTTATTTTTAGCTTACATTATTTTTTATTTGCTTTTATTTAATTAAAATTGTTATATTTTATGTGGTATTTATTTTATTTTTAGGTTTTTTTATGTTAATTTAATTTATTTTACTTTTTGTTTCACTATATTTCAGTACATTTTATTTAAATATATATTATTTCTTTATTATTGTTTATGGTCCTTACTTTATTTTAATGATATATTTAAGGACCCGTCTATAGGTGTTTCATAATTTTTTTCAATTAATTTTATATTAGAATTTTTTCGAGCTTGTTAATATAAACTTTTAAAATAAATTATTTATTAATTTGTGTTAGTTGTTTAAGAGTTTCAGAAATTTTGCTATAGAATTAAATAATATATTTTTTAAATATTACTAATTTCTTTTCACTTTAGACTAAATTGTCATATGTAAAAACAATATTAATTGTTATTTTTGTTTTTTATTAAATCTATATTTTAATAATCGATGGTAGTCATTATCAGGATATTCTAATACAACAATACATGAATTTTCTATTGGTATGATTACATATTTTTTTAAAACTATGTGGGATAGTATATGTCCATATGTGGCACATAATATAATGAAGGTAGAACAGTTCGAACTCATTTATCAATTAACAAAAAAGAGGTAGAAAACTTCTATTGTATTTAAGTATTTATTTTTTTTTTTATCAGAAATACCGTTCGAGTGATGAATTTATGAAATCTACAAAATACTAATAACAATAATTAATATATTATCATTTAGTAATGATAATACTAATATAATACTAATATTAAAAACTTTTTAGACATTTCAAATTCTCAAAATAAACATTTTTTTAAAAAATATCTATGTAGAAATGTCAGCAAAAAATAAAATTTAATAAACAAACAGTTCAGATTTCTTAGCGCAAACCTCTCTAAATACAATGTATACCTAAGATTCAAAAGGAAAAAATCTTTAAGTTCAAAAATCATCTTATAATCACAGAAATACTTATCACAAAATACAGTTACGATTAAAGTTTATTCCAAGAAAAAAAAAAAAGATTTTTATATCGCTTCTATAAAGTGCAGACACTTAAGAAATAAAAATACAAGAGGCTAGAGCTCAGATACAATTTTTTCCAAATAGACTGTAATATATACTTTGTTTTAGAACTCGAGTCTAAACTGCAAAATTATTTTATTTACTTATGTCTCTCATATTTCAACTAGGGTGGTAAGCGTTGGCTATTCAATGAATTAAAAATTGTCACTGCTTATAAGCAGAAATTGCTTATAAGCAATATAATTTTGTTTTAAGTAAATAGTTTATTATTACTTTTAAGTAATTAATAAAAATAAAATATTTACGTTTTTTTCTACTGAATAAAAATAGATAAAATAATTATTTTGATGGCATAATTATTAATAATGGTAAAATTGTTAAATTTTATTTTAATAGACTTTCTTATCATGTATTATTAAATATACTAATAAAAAATTTATAATTATCAATTTATATTACAGATTATTCGAGACAGAATACAAATTTTACACACTAATTTACATTTAAAAAATATTATCTAAGCATACAACAAATTAGGTAGTTTAAGATATATAGAATATAGGAATCTAGGAGTAATGTTTTGAGCAGCCATGAACCATCTTACGTGAAATTGATCAGAACTGTTTTTACTATCCATTAATCTTGTAACAATAACTTCGAATTAACCAAATTATTCGATATAATGTTGTTTACTTTTATTATTTATTATAAATTATTATAAATTTTATTATTAATTATTATAAATTTATTTTAAAATAATTACGCCTCATATATCAATTATCTTCTATAGTCATCATTAGAAACGATTTACAACAATTATATGAAATATTTCCTAAAATAACGACCGAAGACGTTCGAAATATTGAACATAGTATTTTATTAATTTGATTTTACAAATCTTAAGATTTCGATTCCTTTTTATTCTTTATAATTGTAGACTTCTTTTTTATCATAGTTAGAAATTATATACTATATACAACTAAAATATATGAATAGTTTCTATAGATGAACATAAAAGATTAACAGTATATTGTACTTTGTAACTTATTAAGTTAGTTTTACCAAACTAAGGACTTAAAAAAATTTTTTATTTTTTTTTAAGACTTCTGGTGTCGTCTATTGCTCCAACAGAACTTTGCGGTTTATGATAAATCCACTTTATTTGTTACGTTGCGCCATCTAGTTTGATCCTGCGCTATGTGTGTTGCCGTTTTTTCAAACTTAAATTATCATCGAATAGGTGTGCTTCCTGATATTCTACTTCCACTTATATTACTATCTACAACCGATTAGTTCAATACTCCTAGTGCTGTCGCTACGTGATCCAAGTAAATAAGGTAAGGATTTAATATTATTTACAAAAGTTGGTTTAGTTTCTTAAACACCGAGATAAATTCTGTAAACATATATACACATCATTTATCATTTTTGATATATACACAATTCAAAAGTTTTAATCTTCTATTTGTCTAAATTTTTTAATAGACCACCTTTCAGTTGAATATTAATGGTATTTAAATGGTGTAATCGTATTTAAACGATATAATGATTTTTAAATAAGAAAAGTTGAAACGATGATCTTTGTTCAACTGAGATTTTTACTTTCAAAATGTATTTTTCATTCAAAAATTTAAACTTAATTTTTAACATTTAACTTTTATTTAGAATTCAAACATTTCAAAATTAGTTCCTCATTCTTTTTTTAAAAGAGTAGATGTACTGCCTTCTATAAATAAGTTAGGAATATATGTATTTATATAACCTGATTTCTTAAAAGACTTAAGAACGAACCAAGTATCGGTGTATCGAAAGTATCGGAATGTAACATCTAAATGATCTTATGAGTATTTACGTGAATAAATATTTGCATAATTGTTTCCTAGATGATGTCTTTACTTTGAACAAGAGTCAATGCTGTAAATTGCAAAATAACTTTACAAAGCATTGGCAACAAATGCCTTTAAATAATACCATCTAAAAATATACATGGCCCATTGAGGAAGCACTGTTAATTTGATGATAACTATAACTGGGCACTTTACTCTTGACATTAATACAAAATATATTATTAAAAGGATACTTTTATCATTGTTAGGTGATCTTACTTCAACTCATAAAAGAAGTTATCTCGTACTGACAAAATACAGAAAAGGATGAAAAAAGGAAAATGATTTGTTCATTTCCGAATTTGTATAGAAAGAAGAAACATTTGTATTGGATTAGAATGTTAAGAAGATATCAATGAACAGATTTTATTAAGACACTTATAACGTAATATACAAAGTAATATACAAAGTATACAAAGTAATTATAGCAATGTTTATATACATTTTGCTATAAGAATTACAATCACTTTCAGAAGATATTTAGGTACTTAAGCTGCAATCCTATATGGTATTTAGTTTAAACTACAATCCCTAAATACAGTTTAAATCTTCTTGTTTTGAGTACATAAAAGAGTATTTTTGTTTATTTATTAAAAGTATTTTTTTATAGTCGATGTATAAACACTTGTGAATTTTTGTTTATGAGATATTTATTTGTAATTATTTTAAGAAAATTTTAGAAAATAATCATTTATATATTACTACTAGCTTGTTATGAAAATATTTTTTATTAAAAATGAGTTCGTTTATCTAAATGAACAATTGTAGAAGATGTCAACCTGTATTTCTGAAGCAATACTCCTCAGATACTGAAATTTATTTACACGTTCAATGGTCTCTGTGTCTCTTTTCAAAGGTTCATCAACACGATTGTTTATTCTGACTTCTTTTGTTTTCTGTAGATTGGTTTTCAGTCCAACTTTGCAGGACGCTATACACAGGTTATTAAGTTTCTGCTGCATATCATTAAGCCGGTGTTACAACTCACACCGGCGATTTGTATATGTAACATATTTCTTTATATTATTCCTTGTAATATATAGTATAAACAAGGTTTCGAAGTTTGTAGAGATCTTCATCGAGGCTGAATCAAACTTACAATCATTGATTGGGTATGATCCCATTAACTTAATTAGGTTATCTAACGTTGATTTTGTAAGTATATTTGAAAAATATTAAAAACGACTTAAAAAAATAAATCATAATAAAAGCGATGTTCCCTATGATAATGAGAATACGCTTAGCATATCATAAAAATATGTACGCCTTATATCTTCACTGCATGGAAAGAAAATGTGGTCCATATAAAAATGTGTCAACGTTAAAATTCCAGAAATATGTTATAAATTTTTTTAATATATACACATATCTCACCAATATCTAAAGAGCATGAGATTCGCAACAAATATATAGGTGTAAGCTCATGTGTATTACTAATTTGAGATTAAAAACTTGCAGCAATAACTTTTACGCACTTATGTCAAATTATAAATTTTAGATACTTTTCATATATAATATATTACCCAGAATTGGTTAATATATAGAATTTATACATTTTCTTATTTAAATTTAAAACCCTTTCTGCTCGTTAACGTTTTAATAGTCAGACAAAACAAAACCTTCAAATCATTGATATATATGTATATATATACAATTTAAACGAAACTTTAACTTTAGAAAGTAGTACTAAATATGACTTGAAGTGAAGGGAAAGGTGATTTTTATAACCTTAACTAAATGTTCCTTCAAAAAGTAATAAATACAAATTTTTTACACTTACCTCAATTCCATTATCCAAAGCAGATATATTAAAAATTTATTACGATTTTTGTACATTTCTTCACTATAGACGATTGTAATCTCATTATAATGTTTTTTTCCAATTTAGCTAATATTTCTATGATTACCAAAGATACTTTAGAACTATCTTTTGTCAAAACTTTTCACTACCACTTTTGATATCATAGTAAATTCACATTTATAAACATAATAATTATAAACATAATTATTTAATAATTACACCAACAAATTTTTTATTATTTAAAATTGTGAAATATTTCAAAAAAAAAAAGCACAAACTAATATTATTTAGATAAAAGTAATTTAACGCCGATTTCTTAAGTGAGTAAGTAAGCAAAAGCAAATTATTCAGTTAATTTGACACTTTTATGAGCCATTGCAGTGCTATTTGGTTTAGTTGAATTTTTTTCCACTTTTTGTTGTTGTTTGATTTATAATATTAATTCACACTTTAATTCACAACCAAAAACTAAATGAAAATAAAATAAATCCCAGATTAAAAAAAAATCGCTTATGAATGGAAGTCGATCGCGCAGAGTTTCTTGATCATATATAATTATGAAACGAATAAATTGACGATGATGAAGACGATGAAAACATAATTTTTTTACACTCGTTAATGGACGCATAAAAAAAGATATAAAAATTATAACACAAGCTTCACACGCTCACTAAACTGAAATGATTTGCATAAATCAAGCTCCATTTCGGTGATGAAAAGTTACCCATCAGCGCAATCCATTGTGGATTTGTCGGTTTGTAAAACTTCACAGAGTCCACACGTCCAGTCGCGCATGTGAACATCGCATTCTCGCAGGCACTCACAAGTTCTGATTTATATATATTAAGCCTGGATGCTCGTTTGTATCTTGTTCACGCGAATGCTACATAATTTGCTCTTATTTAATATCTTTATTTTTTTTTTTATTTTTTTTAATATTCCTTTTTATTTTCGGATTATTTAAATGTATGATAAAGCGCCGCTTCTGACTGTCACCTCAAAGCTGTTGGTGCAACGATAAACATAATCATCACAGCAGGTGAAAACTACCAACCAACCAAAAAAAAAAAAAATAAACTAATAATAATATAATTAAAATGTTAATTTGTACGCGGTAAATGATCTAAGAACGGCTTTTAATAAACCAAAAAAAAATTGTATAACTTATTTATTTTTAATAAAATGCACTTTAGTGTTGTTATGTAAAAAAAAAAAAGAAAATCACAAATTAATATTTTTTATACGCCGATATTTTCATCTAGAAACTCAGCACATCTATTTTTGGTACCGAAATATACCGCGCATCACGAGACTCACAAAATGTTAACTGCGCAAGCACTAACAACCTCAAACATTGAATATCTTATAAGAACTGAAACACGGTGTCGGCTTAAACCGTATTTTTTACCAAGATTGTTCGAACGAGCCTTGCAACCGTTCGAGCGAACCTTCGAACAAACCTTACAACCTGTTGCGGAAGCAATAAATACATGAAAATTAGTATTTTATGTTTTAAATGAGCTTAGATTGTGATTTATTATCGTTTCTGGCAGGCGATTTGAATGCAGACTCAAATTATTAAATATTAGATTTAATATCCAAATCTCAGAAGAGAAAAAAGTATTTTCATCATACTTTCTGAGATCTTATATAAAAGCTTTTACCATTAGAAAATTGTGTTCAAAAATAATAAAAAAATTATCAAAACTAACAAAATAACAAATATACAAAATAAGTTATTTATTTAAAAAATATAAGGATTATAGGGAAATAATAATAATAAAATTAAATTAATAATTAATAAAGAGGTTTTTCGAAAAGTACTCAACTACAAAAATCATTTTTATATAATTTTAATGAATTGAATTTTTGGCTGACTATGTTTTGAGTATTGCCAAATACCGATCATCAGTAGTCTTGGAAATAATCCTTGTATTTAATTATTCGTAAATAATTTTTTAATACTGCAAGTACCAGGAATCGAACTCATGCCCTGCCAAATTTGAATTTCAGAGTCAGCGTTTATTAACCAAATGACGCAAAGCCATACTTGACTTTTATGTTTGCACATTTTTTCTGAAGTTTTGTTACTTTGCAGTGAAAGTTTTTATTGACAAATCCACTTGCTGTGTTATATATTAGAACGAAATCATAAACCAGCTGTAGAATAGTTGAATTAATGATTTATATTTTATTTTTAATTGGTTAATTTCAATACTATTCTGTTTGTAGAGGCATTATATATTGCATGCTGTTATAAATAAATACAAATATAAATAATTAATAGAACACAACAGATCTTCCGTGAGGCATAGAAATCGAAATAAAATTATATTAGAAATGTTACATTTTATAAGTATACTAAAGACGCTCTAAAACTAATAAAACATGTAGAATGAATAAAGCTCGAACTGAAACTATTTATTGCTACAATAATATAATTAATAAGTATGCTGAAATATACTAAAATAACATATATCAAGAATAATCGAACTAAAACTTTTTATTGTTAAAACCATATACTTAATAGGTACACTTAGACCTACTAAACTAAACAAATATGAGAAATATGAGAAATACATATCAAACAGAAACTATTTATAGTTCAAATGATGTACTTTATGGGTATACTGCAAGAAATAAAGCTCGAAATGAGAGTTTTTTGTTCAAACGATATACCTTATAGATAAGCTAATATTTACTAAAATTAACAAAATTTCTATAAGAATTATATACCAAACTGGAACTATTTATAGTTGGATTGATATACTTTGTGAGCATTCTAAAGATCTACTAAATTATTAAAAAATCAGGACGCAACAAATCTCGAACTTGAACTATTTATTATTGAGTAATGCGATTTATGAATAAGTAGAAATCAACTAAAATTAAAAATTTTCTGTAACAACTTGATATCAAAACAGAAACTATTTATTGTTGTTGTAATGTTCTTTATAAATATAGTAAGACCTCCCATAATTAATAGAATCTCTTCAAGGAATAGTATATAAATGAAGCAATGTACGTAGGAGGCGATGTACTTAGGGAGTATACCAAGACGTTCTATGTTAGTTTAAAATTAAGGTACGGGTGTTGATGCAAATATCAATACCTACAAAGGCAAACTTCACTAACCGTTTTTCAAATACAGCTCCGTATGCTATTCTACTTAACTGTACAAACTATTGTTTCTAATATGGTTCTAGAGAGATTTTGGAAAGTAGTGAACAACGAACAGCATTCGAGTACTGTCAAATACCTATCATCAGTTGTCTTGGAATTATTTCTTGTATTTAATTTTTCGTATATAATGTTATGAGACTTCAAATACCAGGAATGCAAATGTGGAAGCTATTTGTTATCCTTTATTAATGATATTGATGACCAATTGATTTTCAAGATAAAATTAAGAAGATGCGATAAGTCCACTCTCGTTAACTCTACCGGAGCTTTAATCTTAGAGCTGGGAACTTTCTTAAGAGAACTAAATGCATAATTACTTAAGATACTTACTGCTTATAACCAGATCTGTGCAGCTATAAAAAACTGTTTAACTGTTTCTTCTTCCTCGACTCCATCGTTTCTACAGTATTTATGAAAGAATACAACAAACCTTAGAGCATGTCATTCAAACATTCTGTGACCGATTATATAATCCATATCTTTAGAAATATTCTCTTTGAGGAGACCAAATATAGTGTTTTAAACGAAACTACACTACAACTGAACTTAAGAGTTTTAAACAATTCTATATCTAATTACAGTGCCTGAAACGACACTATACCTAAACTACAATGTCTAAAACGATACTATAACTAAACTATAGTGACTCTATACCTAAACTACAGTGTCTTGACTATTAGCAGATGTATTCAATATTATTTATTCAAAATACAATATTTTTGATTTTTTATATCTCATTTCCCCTAAAATTAGATTTATTAAACTGGAAACAATATACGTTTCTACCTACATATCTTAATTTACACTCTAACCTATAGCAATAAGTAATTTTTTTACAAAAAAAAAAAAAAATAAAATAGAAAGTTGTCAATAACTCTTACGATTATGTTATATACAGATCAAGTACAGACGTTGTTTTAAGTCTGAAGATATCATAAAAGATACTTCATCAATATTTATCCGTGAACCTAATTTTCCAATTTTCTATTATCTTTTTTTTTGTAATCGTTGTATTATATCAACATTATTTATATGTTTATATTATTATAAACATTTGTTCTAAATACCACAGCAACTCAACCTTGTTCTTCGGGATCCGATGTATCTTATAACGGTTTAGTTATT